GGGCGGGGCGCGCCGGGGCCGGGGGCCGGGTGCCCTCGCGGCCTGGCCCCGCGGCCGCCGGCATCTCCGGCTCGTCCCCTCCCTGGGCCGGGCGGGCCTGCGCGGCGGTCCCGGGACTGGGCCCGCGCGGGGGCGCGGAGCGGGGGCCGGGCGCGCCCCCGGGGAGGACCGCGCGGATCGCAGGCTCCGCTCAGGACGCGGGAGGCGAGCGCGGCCCACGGAACTTCTGTGGGTCGCGACTGTTTGCGAACCCTTGCGGAGCTGCTGTCACTTGGCGTACGGGAGGCTCTCCGGGCCGGGGCGCTTTGTGCCGGAGCCGGACTCCGCATCCTGTCCGAGATCACCGGCCCCGGAAACAAAGTTTCTCACGATCGCGCTGCCCTGGGCTTATTCTGGGCGATCGAACCACCCAGCGGTTCTGGAAGAATTCGGTGTGTGACTTGAGGGCGTAGACGGTAACTCCCCTGGTGAGCGCAGTCGGCGTGGAGTGTGCGGGGGGTGTGATCGCAAAACGCTTTCGTTTGTGGACCGTGGAGATCGCCCTGGAAGGGCTGCGCGAGTGCCCGGGGGTTCCGGACTCACTGGCGTCTCTACAGCGCGGGGGACAAAGCAGGAGCGGGCGCGTGTCGGCCTCTGGCACCCAGGACAGGTCAGGTCGGCAGTGTCCCCCGTATTTGGCTTTGTTTATTTTGCCAACAGGTTTAAGGCTGAACCTGGCAAGTTTGCGTCTGCACAGCGGGATGAGCAGGCCGCAGCGCTGGGCCCGCGCAGGCCCACCCCTTCCTTTGACCCCAAAGAAACTGCACCCTGAGAGGCCACCGTGTGTGGCTTGCGGGACCCACAGGTAGGGGGGTCCTTACCTGGTCCCGGCCCAGTGTGGCTTTCTCCCGGGCTTCGCCAAAGGGATTTTGGTAGGAATGAGAGTTATTCAGGGTGTGTTTCATCCCACTGCATTTGATATCGTAAGCAACAGGACTTAAAACGACTGAAAATGAAATTAATCTGGGCTGAAATTAACTTATCAAAGCAGACCTAAACTTTGCTTCTGAACACTCCCTTAATTCACTTACCCAGGGGCCCTAGATGAACGGGTAAATGAATGACAGGATTCAGGCATGGGTGGTGGGGTCGTATAAAGAGGGTAGCAGCCAGTGAACACGAGCAGGTCGAGTGGGCCTAACCAGGAGACTCAGCTGTCGGTGTAGGCTTTTAGGTGTTTGGAACAGGGGTTTCCCCAGATGTGGGTGTTAACCGTGTTTCTGAATTAGTGACCAGGAGGGAAAATCCTACTGTGATGTTTCTCTCCTCCAGGTTGGTTAGATGTAGTTTTGAAGAAAGTGGCCGGATCTTAGTGGTCCTCTGGCTGCAGCTAGTTGAGGCTGAAATTGGGAACTTAAAGCAGCTGTGAGCTGGTAGTAACCTAGAGGCCTCACCTGGGCCCCGAGCGTCTCAGCTGCTACCTAAGTACTCAGCAGGATTGATTCTGGGCCACGGGATGACATTGCCATCTGGAGGATAGGCTGACCCGTCCCCTTCGCTCCGCATTTAAGGTGGGGCCTGATGAAGGTGATCGCAACTAGCTGTGCTCATTTGTCAGGCTTTGAGGTTTTCTTTATTACGTGCCCTGTACTTCAGTTCTCTTCATCCCTCATCTCTTTGAAGCTGCCACGTTTCCCAGCCTCTGTTAAAATATTTGCATTGGGCGATTATTGAGGTTTTCCAACAAACAGATCACATGTACACAGTATTTGAGACGTGCTGTCATCCACTGTAAACATACCTGAAGTCTTCCTTGTGTGTATACAAACTGGATAACCTTTTAAAATACCCTGAAGTCTTCTCCATTGCCCAGAATGACCTGGAGCTTTCTCCTCGGTCACTTCATTAGCATTGGCTGGATGAGGCTGTGTTACACATGTTTCTCCGGGATATGCATGCTTCTCACTGCCCAGAATGGCCTCCCGTGAACCAGGGGAGAGGGCCGGTGAGATGCTTCTCCTATATGAAAAATCAAGCAGCAGATTGCTCGCTAGAACTGCAGGGTAGGGTGGTGGACCATGTTTGGAAACCTAGTAAGCTGACCTTCTTCACAGATGAACTGGAAACTCCCCACGACTCAAATCCAAGGCTTGCAAGATGAGTTTTCCCATCCAGATGAGTTGCAAATGGCCCTTCCAAAATGTTTCTCTTTCCTAAAATGAGTGATGGAAACCCTTTGTGGCCTGTTTTCAAAGGCTAAAAATGACCTCGTGCTGATACTGTTAAATGCTTGAGTTAAGACAGTTTAGAAGGAGGTCAGGAGAGCCATTTAACGGTTTCAAAGTATGGAGCTAAAGTAGTTTCTTGTTTCTTTAGGCCATTTTAGTAACACAGTTTTAAAAATGAGACTGTTTTTTTCTTTTCCTGCGTTTCACTTTGAATGGATCCCAAAGTGTGTCAATTTCTGAAGGTATAATTAACATTAACCAGTTATAACTCCGTCCCCCAACGCACACACATGCATTTGCCACAGTTGGCCCCGTGGCTTGTGTTCATTCCTTGTACACACGGATGCCCAGAAAATACTGATTGAACACGTGAATATCGAGTTCTGAGCCTGTCAGTCATTAAGGCTCTAGGTTCATAAGGTTTTGCTTCCAGCACGTCCAGGTCCAGACAATGGGAGGATTTGGTCTGGTGGCCTCTCTATTTGGTAAATTCTCTGTCAAACGAGTCATTTATAGTCCTGAAGCTAAAATTAATTTAAAAAAAAAAAAAAAGCAAGATGAAAAGCAAACCAGCTACATCACCCCCTGGTGGGATGCCTAAATATTTTACTTTTCAATAGGTTGTCTGTCCAGGTTAACCTGAACTGGAAACTCTGGACAGAGCATTTGTTATCCCGGCCTGGTAAGCTAGCCATGTAGTGTCCTCTTACCTCTTTTTATACCATTTTTTAATGTTTTTAAGAAAAGAAGCTTCAAGTGCACTCAGAATCGAAATACTGCAATTTCCCCTTTTGAGAGTTTTGGAAAGTGGGATCGTTTTGCTGGTTGGTAGTTAAAGGAAGATCTGAAACGCCCAAGTCAGATAAAAATAACAGGTACTAGTGTTCAGATGGAAGATTATGGCTTACCAATTAGCTTTCCCATCCACCACCATACTTAGTATCGAAATAACATGGTGACGTGGGCTCCGGCCCTGATGTTTGTGTGAGGACCCCGGAGCCCAGAGACAGTGGCAGGGTGACAGAGCCCCCTGGCTGCTCAGCAGGAGGAGACGACCCCCAGAGGTGCTGGGCGTGGTAGTCCCTGGGAGGCTGCGGGTCTGCCGCAGGTCCTGATGGGCGGAGCGTGTGGGCCCCTGCCCGGCTGCAGGTGGGAGCAGGGCAGGCAGGTGAGTTCACTCTGGAGGTGACCTCCTGTCCTGATTTTGGTGTCTGAGCCCGTTGGCCTGGACATTCTCTGCGAGTTGAAGGGCGCTTGTCCCCATTCAGTGTGTGCACGCCTGCTCAGGCTGCCCTCACAGATCCCACAGGCTGAGCGTGAAAAAGAAGCTTATTTCTCGCCCTTCTGGAGGCTGTAAAGTGAGGATCCAGGTGCTGGCAGACTCAGTTCTCGGTGAGCCTCTCTTCCTGCTGTGTCCTCACACGCCCTGCATGTGGGGCGTTCTGGCGTCTGTTCCTCTTCCTAGGAGGACACCAGTCCTGTTGGGTTAGGGCCCCACCCCTCTGACCTCATTGAACTTTAGTTGCTGCCAGGGCTCTTTCTGCAGATGCAGGCACGTCGGGGGGTGAGGGCTTCAGCATGTGAATTCGGGGGGCAGTTCAGTTCATAACAGTGCGTCACTCTGTTCAAAACCAGGCTGATGATTTTAGGGCTTCCTGTGGCTTCTGTCACCCCGATCTGGAATCTGGTGCTTGAGGACATCTGTGGCGGGGAGGGGAGGGGCTGGCAGCTCAGCGTTCATCACGCAGCCTCCACACGCGGGGAAGGCGGCCGCTGGGATCCAGATGCTTCAGGCTTTGAGGAGAACCATTAGGAGAGAGAACTAGCCCTGACCGATTCCGTTTGTGGACGCTTCCCCTCAGCCGGTGTTGGCTCAGCTGCAGCAGGGTTTTTGGATCAGGATCATGGTCAAATACAAGATGTACGGAAAGTGCTGGATTTGGTATGGAAACGAGAGCGTTTCCTGGCCACGGATGGAACCTGGGGCCAGGAGCATCGCTGGGGCTGCTGCTAAGACTGTGGATCTGCTGGGAGCCAGCGTCCCCTTGGCGGGTGCGGGAGGGTTCGGTGACGTCCACGCTGATCGCTGCCTGTGTTGCTGGCCTGGGCCGGTGGGAGCTGTTCTAGGTGATCACCTGTGTGACCGCAGCTCTCCAGCTGCAAACCTGTTCACTCCTGACTCAGTCGGTCATTCCAGTGAATCATCCGACCTCCCTCCGGTCATTTCCACTGAAAACTCTGAACATCACAGCTGTTGGCACCGCCTCCTGACCTGCCTGCCTTCTCGTTAATGTCCCCAGCATTGACTCACTGCGTCATCCTGGACTCTCCCTTGCCTCCCAAATCCCAATCTTATTAATTTTACCTCCAAAAGATCTCTTACACTTGAGCCCTGCGGTACTTCCCCTCTCACTTGCACTGGCGGAACACCTCTTTCACCACGCCTACCACCCTGCTCATTGCGCCCGGGTACCCGAGCCTGGCCGTGGTCCCATCGCTGGCTCCCCACTGCCCTCGGGTCAGCGTCCCCCGTCCTCAATGTGGCTACTGTGGGCCTGCGCCACGGGCTCCTCACTGCTTTCTCAGCCTCTAAATATGCTTCCCCGCCCCCAGTACACACTGGATGGCAGCCTGCTAGTTGTGATAACGTTTATTGTCAGTTTATTTTTAAAGACTTCTGTACTTTGGGGCCGATTCAGTGTTACCCTTGTAATAACAGCATCACGGCGCAAGTGCCCCGGAACTATACCTGACCCTTAAGGAAGGAGGAGAGGCTGGCGCCGAAAACGCTGCCTGTGTCTGTTTTCATGTGGGGTGTTTCCTGAAAACGCCCCTTGAAGATTGTCAAGAGCCGTGCTGTCCCATTGAAATATAACGCGAGCCACAGGGGGGCTTTTAACTGTCTAGTAGCCGCGTTAAAGATGTAAAAGGAAACAAGTGAGACTAATTTTCACAGTCTGTTCTTTTACCTGGTAGAGCCAGAGTATCTTTATTTCCACGTGTTCAACATAAAACGTTATTAATGTGATGATTCACATTCTCCTATTTGTGTGAAGTCTTTGAAAGCCAGCACGTGTTCTCCGTTCATGGCGTACCTCTCCCCTCGCAACATTGGGGTGTTCAGCGGCCCCACGAGGCTGGTGGCTGCGTGCTGGAGGGCACAGGTCTGTACACTTTAATGATGCAAGCTTCATTTAGCCTGTGTTTTCCTGAGTTGAGATAGCTGAAAAGACATAGAGGAAGCAGCCTGGGATCATAATAATGGTAATTATTATTCTGTAGTGGGAAAGGTGTAATCTGTAGTTCTAAGGACTACTGTGGTATTTCAGGTACTCAAGCAGTTTTAGAGTGCTCAAACCAGATGTGGTTACCTATAATCAGGATACTTGTATATTTTACAAATGTTTTAAAATGTGTGTAGAATTCTAGAGGTTACGTTACCAATGCAAAATAACTTTTTGGGAATGTTAGTGTTCAGTGTATTTCCGATATATTTAAGTACTTAATTTCTAAGTATAGAACCTAAAAGTCATATTTCTTTAGTGATCACGGGCTTCTTCCCTAACGCACACACACCACACGTTGTAGTGACTGTGCTGACCACGTTACACAAAATACTAGCCCATTGAATGCCTTC